GTTGCCATCATAATATGCTCCATGAAGCTGAAGGTGGTCTGCTAGAAGGCAAGCAGTTGTGCCTATAGCTGATCCCGATGAAGGTGCATCTAAGCCTGAGCTGCTGCAAGTGCTGCTTCCTATCGCTGCTGCTCCTCTGCTTGACGTGTCTGCTCACGCTGCATCCTATCAAGGATAGCAAACAAGGTAGGGTCCATCTGTGGAGCAGGTGGTGGAGCGGAGCTAGAGCCACTAGCCTCTCTATCATGTGGTCGTGGAGGCATTTGAGGTACTGGCTCGTAGTCCTCGTCTGAGCTATTAGACGGAAGGTCATCTAGAGGCAGGTCATCCGACTGAGCCTCTAAGTCAGCAAGCTCTGTCTCAGTGAGACCTCTAATCACCTCATCCTGCCCTCTACAGTCTCAGGAACTATAGGTCTCTGATGTGACACTCTGGCAGCTCTGTTCCCTTAACCCTGTCATAATCAAGAAACCTGGTAGGTGAATCACGCAATGTAGCAACTGACTCTATAGCCATCTGATCAACCTCCTTTAGAAGAATCCAACAGATCCAGAGGGACCTCTAGGAAGCTGTCTGCGGCCATTGAATCCCTCTGTAATGGTGTCCTCCATCTCTGAAAGGATAAGATCCCAAATGTCAAACTCTGTCTAGGACACCAAGTGAGCTAGCAACCAGAGCTGGAAACGAGTCAAGCCCTCTCTGTAGCTGATCCTCGACAGAAGAGTCCTCCTCATGACCTTGTTCAGGAGACGGGCAGTCGGTGTAAGGTCACGAGGAAGGCGACTAGAACCCTCTCCGAACGGCTCTCGAAAGCATGGCCGAACTGTCTCTGTCAGAGGGACCTCTCCGCTGTGAGGGCATCTCGGTGCGTCCGTGTCTCTGTAGCAGATGCAGTGGAGCTAAGTAGCTGACTCTGTCAAGTGTAGTAGCTCTCTGGCTCTGGTGTGTAGAGTCTATGATCACGGCCTCTTAAGCTGAAGTGTATAAACCGGTGATTTGGGTCGATCCAAAGTGAAGCATAGAACTCTCTAACCCAAGACTATGTATGAGCCGGTCCACCCAAGCAGATCTGCCAAGCTTGGCAGGTAAGTGAGTAGGGGCCAAAGACCTGCTCTCCTCTAGCTACAACGATCGCCTCAAGTGAACAAACCCGATGTGATCTGATAATGGCTCCACTGTTCACGTAAGCATTGTAGAAATCTTCCTGCAACACTGTATAGAACCCCTCTGAGGCCCTCGGGTCCCGTTGAGGTGGGAACCACTCCTCGAACTGAACAAACCACAAGTCCTGGACCTTGCGAGCAGGGGCTGCCCTCAAGTCGAGGTGAACAACCGGCGGGGGGCCACGAGGCCTGGGTGGTGCACGAGCTCCGTGTCTCGGTCCCTTGGGTCGGGGTGACACTGTGGTGCGAGAGCGAGTGGAGCGGCATAACCTCTACTCCTATGGCTACTCAGTCTGCTCTGTCTTTGACTACTCTATCTGGTGCTGCTCATGCTCTGTCTCGACTGGGGTGTCCTCTAATGGATCATCGAGACTAACACGAACACCATCAATCACAATACTGCCTCGATGAGGACCGGCAGCTGTCATCTGAGTGGTTCTCTCAGCATAAGCTGGGTCTGGATCCTCAATCACCGCTTATACAATACAATTATTTAGGGGCGGAGAGAGTATGCTACAAGAAGTCTAGCTAGAAGCTGAGAAACAGAAGATGGATTCTCTCCACGTACGACATCAGTACCGTCATAAAAGTATATATGGAAAAGAATTCTTCAACTTACAAATAATTTCTACCCGTTTGGATCATTGAATTGAATTCATTCTAATAAATTATAATTTAGGCACATATTCGTCGAGCTAATATGGTTGTATATAGAATATATTTGTGTATAATTGTTAGCTATGCAAGGAAGATGCTTATAAGTTGCATTTCTACTGTAGGGAAGCAAATTGAAGAGCATGCTATAAGATATAGATTACAAGTGATCTATCGAATCTATTTTCATCTCCCACCCTATGAATTTGATATAGACTTATATGTAAATTTTGGGAAGTTGTGAAATCTTAAATTCCAAGCCAAATAGCCTAAATCATTAAGTGGACTCCAGTTCCTCCAAAATGAAGGGATGCAAATGGCCCTCGGTGAATTTCCCATCAACATCGATCGCAGTGGTTTACTCATCATGAATAGATTAGACTACCTCAGCCATCACACACATATACCACTAGTGTCTCTGCAGCTCTGCTTTCCGAGCCAGCTTACACGATATTCAGTTTTTTCAAAGGCGCAGTACAGCTTGACAGTAGCCTAGATATTTAGGCCAGAATAAAAAATTAACCCACGGTACAAATAGGCCAAATTTATTACGTAGATACTTGGGCTGTTCGCTGATTGGTTTTTTTTGAACTGATTTGGGCTGGCTGGTGATGGTTTATTGTGAGAAAAAAACACTGTTAGCTGACTGATTTGGGCTGGCTGAAACCGACGAACGAACAGAGCGACTGTCAGAGGCCACGGCATCCGGACGCTCAAACCTGATATATTATATATAAATTAAAGTATGATTTAAACTCTATCCCTAACTTTCGAGCATCAGCAGTGGTTGAGTCGATTCTGTCCGGAAAAAAGGACAGCCACGTCAGGTTACAAATGAGTCGATTTCTGCGCTTAAATAAACTAGTGGGTCCCATTATGAATAAACAAAACTATGGCTGGCTGATGTCCGCAGCTATTCCTTCCCATTGCCAAATAAAAAATCATTTTTCTTTTGCTATCGCTCATCTCACAAGCAAAGGTGCGGTCCAGCCTCTTTTTTTATCCGTGTGAGTCGACTTCCGCAGACGAATCGATTCATTCTCTCTCTTCGGATGAGTCGCCTTTTGTAGTGGTGATGGGCCGATTCATTAGCTCATCACTAGAGAAGCCCATACAACTCAAACCCATTTATAACTAAGCGTGTTTACATACCGGCCGCTAAAAATTAACACTATGTTTGGGTACTAATTAGAAGAATTAAACGTGAACTAATTTTAAAACTAATTGTATAAGCGGTGACTAATTGACGAGACGAATGTATTAATCCTAATTAGCCCTTGATTAGCTTATGTTTACTATAGCATCATATAAATCATGGTCTAATTAGAATTAACAGATTCATCTCGTTAATTAGTCACCGCTTATGTAATTAGTTTTGAAATTAGTTCACGTTTGATCCTTCTAATTAGCATATAAACATAGTACTAATTTTTTAGCACTAAAGATTCAAACAACCCCTAAACCCTACCCATATATTGGATACATGGCATAACTGACGCCCTTTACTTGGTTAAAGCATCTCCAACGGACAGGACATCTCATTTTCCTAAAAGTTTGAGATAAAGGAATCTTAAAATATAGGAGATGGGTGCTGTATCAGTTCCTCTTTATTCCTCCCCTGACACATGGATGCGTGTGTGTGTGTGGAGGACAAGCACGGGTAGCACGGGCGCACGGCCGGCAGTGAGGCGATGCGAAAGGCAAGCAGCGTGGCAAGACGGCAAGCGGCTGGCGCTAGGGCGCAATGGGCGGCGACCTGCGAGGTGGGTGAGGCCTGGTGACTGACCAATGATGTGTGGTAGAAAAACGGCGTGTGGTAGGTAGGAGAGGGGATGGGTGGGCAATCCCCTTTGTTTTGTTTAGGGGAGAGGAAGATTTTGGGAGATCGAGAAAAAAAAGTTTGGGAATCTATTGGAGCTTATTTTTCTTCCTTAATTAATCTCTTCTATAATAGTTTCTAGGAAAAGAGGATGGATTTTCCGGATCACCGTAGTAGATGCTCTTGCCACGCGATTTCTGAGGTGAAAAGCAATCATGCTCTCAGTGGCCGCCGGGGACCGGGGTCCACCACCCCAACTCACAAAGCAAAGCAAAGGAATTGGTCGATGATAATTGTACAGAGGTCGTGTAAGTGAATAATTAAGTTAGGGAGCATCGAGAGATATGACAATTATAGTTAAACTTTTTTTTCAAATGTCATTTTCAAGTGAAAAGAGAGCTTAATTCTTACAATGAAAAAGATTGTTACTAGTGCAGGTTATCTTACTAGTTTTTAAAACAAAATAGCATGTGTCCTCTGCCCTTTCTTCTTTTTTCTCGAACCACCGATCAAACATAAATGAAAAAAGACAGTGCACTTCAAAATTCGCTTCGGCTCACATCACGGGTGGTAACTTGTGAGAAGACTTAACACCGGTCAAGCTCCACTACTTCCTGAGGTTTCTGAGGCTTCTGAGGCTTTTTCTTGTTTTGCACTTGCTTTCGCTAAAGGGGAGGCCTCTCGTCGCCGACGACGACGCGACCTGAGGTAATAAGGATGATCTCGCCGGAATCCTGTTTCTCCTTCTCGTTGGGTTCGACCACCTGCTCATTTTCTTCATCACCTGCCTCAGATCTGCAGGCCTCTGCATCCTGAAGCTGGACCCCCGCCGCAGTTGAGTTTAGGTACTTAATCTGCTTTGGTTTAAGCCCAACACAACACGCACAATCTAATTCCTCACATCTCCTCCCGCTTTGTCCCCTGGTCAGATCTCCTCACGTTTTTGCTGTCAATCCTAGAATTTCTTGGATGACCAACTCACACTTTTTGGTGTCAATCCCAGTGAGTGTCAAGCATACTGATCAAAGGCCTCCTTCACCTCTTTCACAAGAAGAAGAAGAACAAAAAGCCCTCCCTCATCTGGCGGCATCAAAGTGTCATCCTGTCGTTGCTTCTACAGTTCGATCTGGGGGTGACACATGTTAATTGGTAACTCTCAGATATTTTGTCGGCCGTTCATTTATTCCAGAGTTGAGAATTATTATTGGAACATTTCTGCCACCACATTTCCTAAAAAATTATTTTCCTAAAAAAACATTACTGCTGCCACCTAACTAGTTTTGGATTTGCGAAACTCAATGTAACCGCTTGCTTCTCAATTTCATCCGCAGGGGTTTAGTTTAGGCAAGAGTTTCTTTGACATAATGAGTGGGATGGAGGCTGCTTTAGCATCTGGAGTGTTGAAGGTTGCAGGTGACAAGCTAGTTTCACTGTTAGCCACTGAGTTTGCTGCCATAACCGGTGTCCAAAGAGATCTCTCCGAGCTCCAGGATATACACGCAGATATTACAGGCTGGCTGTCGGCAGCACGTGACAGAACAATACAGAGTGAGCCACAGTCTCGCTGGGTTGTAAAATTGAAAGATGTGGCTTATGACATTGACGATGTACTACAAGAAGTCCAGCTAGAAGCTGAGAAACAGAAGATGGAAAGAGATGATGACAAGAGTGGTATAGCTGGCTGCTTCTGTGCAAAACCAAAGACATTTGCATTCCGATACAAGATGGCTCATAAGATCAAGGCAATCAAGGTGAGATTTGCTGCAATCGTCAAGCAAAGAAGTGATGTCAATACTTTATTTCCAAGGGATGAACATATTGGTACTGGGTACAGGACAGCTGCAGAGATGTCCTGGTTGAGCAAGGTTCCAGAGTCCAAAATACCCCTTAGGGATCAAGAAAAGGATGAAATCATATCTAAGCTTGTAGAATGTAATGCTGGAGAGAACAGCATGATAGTTTCTATCGTCGGATTAGGGGGGTCAGGCAAAACTACTTTGTCCAAACACATTTGCCATGACGTCAAGATAAAGGAGCACTTCGGAGATAAAATATTCTGGGTCCATGTGTCTCAAGAGTTTGATGTTCAGAAGCTCATCGGCAAGCTATTTCAAACAATTGTTGGAGATAATTCAGATCGTCATCCCCCGCAGCACATGGTCCAAAAAATCTCGGAGAAGTTGAGCAATAAGAAGTTTCTTCTTATCCTTGATGATGCTTGGCATGAGGACAGACATGACTGGGAACAGTTCATGGTGCAGCTAAAATGTGGCGCACCTGAAACAAGGATTATGTTAACCACTCGTGATCGAAAGGTTGCAGAAGCTGTGGAATCAAGACATATATTTGAGTTGGCATTCTTATCAGAGTCTGAGAGTTGGAACTTATTCCTGAAGGGTTCTGGGTTGGCAGAGCAAGATTTGAGCTCCGATCATGTACAAGTCGGAAAAGAGATTATCAAGGGATGTGGTGGGGTGCCGCTAGCAATTCAAACTCTTGGAGCAGTCCTTCGTGACAAGAAGCAAATAAGTACGTGGAGGGCCATAAGAGATAATAATTTATGGAATGATCAGAGTATAAATGACAGAGTGTTTGCATCCTTGAAGTTGAGCTATATTCACTTGGCAGATGAACTGAAGCAGTGCTTTACGTTTTGCTCCATATTCCCGAAGGGCTATGGAATCCAGAAAGATCGTTTGATTGCCCAATGGATAGCTCATGGATTCATCAATGCAATGAATGGAGAGCAACCCGAAGATATCGGAAGATACTACTTAGATTCTCTTGTAAAAGTCAGGTTTCTTCAGAAACCTTATGAGAGCTGGGATACTGATATATACAACATGCATGATTTGATCCATGATCTCACTCGACAGATACTAAAGGATGAACTGGTGACTTGTGTACCAATTCATACAACAGAAAAATTTACTCATAATAGATATTTATCTTTGACTTCATTCCCTGAGAATGTTGACAAGGGATTATTTGACAAGATCCGTGCTCTATATATCTCTGAAAGTAAGCCATCTTTTGATACCACAGTGAAGAATAGTTGTTGTATGCGCAGTGTTGTTTTGGACTATGCAATTGATACTCCGTTTTCACTATTCATATTAAAGTTTGAGTATCTTGGGTATCTTGAAATCCACAAAGTTAGTTGTACAACAGTTCCAGAAGCTATCTCGAGGTGTTGGAACTTGCAGTCACTCCATTTTGTTAGCTGCAAAGGTTTTGTGACATTACCTGAGTCTGTTGGAAAGCTTCGGAAGCTAAGGACTCTAGAGTTGCGTTGGGTTACTGATCTTGAGAGTTTGCCTCAGTCCATTGGTGACTTTTATGTTCTTCAGTCCTTGCAACTATATGAGTGCAGCAAGCTCCGAGAGATACCAAGCTCTTTAGGTAGAATTGGAAACCTATGTGTACTTGATATAAAGCGTTGTTCATCTCTGCAACAACTACCGTCAGACATCATTGGGGAGTTCAAAAACTTGCGAACTCTGAACCTTTCTGGAACCAAAGCTACCATGCTACCTCAATGGGTTACATCGATTGATACTCTAGAATGTATTGACCTCGAGGGATGCGATGAGCTACGGGAGTTGCCTAAGGGCATAGCAAACTTGAAAAGGCTTGAAGTTTTGAACATAGGGGATTGTAGTAAACTGTGCTGCTTACCATCAGGGTTGGGACAGCTGACCCGTTTAAGAAAGATAGGATTGTTTGTTGTTGGGTGTGGTGCAGATGATGCGAGGATCTCAGAGCTAGAAAACCTTGATATGATAGGTGGTCGCTTGGAAATTACCAACCTTAAGTATTTGAAGAATCCAAGTGATGCAAAGAAGGCTTGCTTGAAGCGGAAGAGTAACATACGACACTTGGTGCTGAACTGGTCTTTAAGTGATACCGAAGAAGAGTTGGTATCAGATATGGAACATGATTGGGGTGTGCTGAACGCTCTTGAACCAACATCGCAAATTGAGCGCTTGGAAATCTTTGGTTACAGAGGCCCCTGCTTGCCAGGATGGATGATGAATCAAAATGATTCTTCATATAGTGAAGGTGGCATAATGCTGAAGCAAACTATTGCATCCCATTTCCTTTGTTTAACTTGGTTAGTGCTAGTAAGATTTCCAAACTTGAGGCATATGAGAGGATTTGTTGAGTTGCCTTCACTGAAGAAGCTTGTGCTGTACGAAATGCCTAATTTAGAGGACCTGTGGACTACATCAAGTGGTTTTGAAACTGGGGAGAAAGAATTGGCAGCACAATATCTTTTTCCTGTCCTGTCCTGGCTAGAAATACGTCGCTGCCCGACATTAAATGTGAGCCCCTACTTTCCACCATCGTTGGACTATATGTCTTTATACAGAATCAATGCGCAGCTGCTATCCACAGGAAGGTTCTCCCATCAGCTGCCCAGCATGCATCGCCTCAAGAGGCTAGAGCTAATGGAAGTTACAGGATCATCATCTGGCTGGGAACTGCTGCAGCACCTCACTAAGCTGAAAGAGTTGAAATTTACAGTTGCAATGACCTGACACAGTTACCAGAGAGCATGCGGAACCTCACCTCTCTCGAGCGTCTCTGCATGTTCGAATGCTCCGCCGTCGGCACGTTGCCTGACTGGCTTGGAGAACTGCATTCTCTGCGACGCCTTGAACTGAGTAGGGGCGATTTGAAGCAGTTCCCAGAGGCGATTCAGCGCCTCACCTCGCTTGAACATCTCCGCATTTCATCAGGTCCTGCACTGACGGTGCTGCCGGAGTGGATTGGACAACTCTCTGCGCTTCGTTCGCTTTGGATCGAGCATTCCCCTGCCCTTCAATACTTGCCCCAATCCATACGACGCCTAACTGCTCTCGAGGAATTGTACATTTATGGTCGCCCTGGTTTGGTGGCGGCGGCGGCGGCGGCGCTCCCTGCCCCTCTCCTTCGTCACCTATGGCGGCGCTAGTATGATCTTATTTTAATTTTTATGGTATGTACACATACTCCTTGACTGTACGTACTCCCACGTATGATGTCGATGTACGTGTACGTATTCCAGCGGATCCGAGGAGTTATCGCTCGATGTCGATGGCCCTGCCCTGCATGCACTGTACAATTTTCATGAACCTGTTATTTTTTCAAAAGCAGCAGGGCGATCGAGTCATTTCATTTTCAAAAGCAGGGTACGTTGTGGGCAACGTCCGTGCTTGTGACCTCCTCTGGTAGGCATGCATGGATGGACGTGGCCGAGCACCACTACCGGAAAAACGTCCTTGCCGAGATCCGAGATTTTTGCCGAGAGCAAAAACGCGGGCTCTCGGCAAAGAAAACATTTGCCGAGCGCGGCTCTCGGCAAACATCGGCCGTCGGCAAGTGACAGGATTGCCGTGGGCCTGCATCTCGGCAAGCAACAGCTCTCGGCGAAGTGGGCCTTTTTGCCGAGAGCCGCGCTCGGCAAAAAATGCCCGTCGGTAAAACAGTCCTTTGTCGTAGGCCACGCTCTCGGCAAAATCAGGCTCTCGGCAAAACATTGCCGCGGGCCCATAGCCGTGACCTGCCCTGACGGCGTCACCGCTTTGCCGAGAGCCCCTCCGTTACTGCTCTCGGCAAAACTCTTTGCCGAGCGCCGCTCTCGGCAAATATTTGCCGAGAGCCCCTCCCAGGCTTTCGGCAAATGTGGTTTCTATATTTCATGTGCATGTGTTTCTCTTCTCTTAACTCTCTCCAATTAAATTATTTTTTCTTTCATATGCTCCAAACTTTTTTCTCTATAGACATACTACAGGTTGTACTCAATATTAAAATTTTGTGTATTTTTGTAATTATTTGCTATATATAATTAATTAATTGCATTTCAAGGAGTTTTTTTAATCGATTAAAATTTGAACAGCGATTGATTTAAACACGGGAAAAAAATTAAGTAGAAAATGATATTCATGCTATTTATGCATTATTGAGGGCAAATAACATCTTGTTGACGTTTTTTTACCTTTTATTTTACTTAATCAAGACCACGAACATATGTCGCCTAACGATTTAAAAAAATTCTTAAAAAGGAAACGAAGTCGGAAAATTGTGATATTTGCAATGAAGTCATGGTATCACACTTGGAGGCTGTGGTAAAAAATTAAAAATATTTCGCACAAGTGGTTGCGTATGATTCTTACAATCTGAGACATCTCCGAATAAGTTTCATAAAGTTGAGAAGGATCCATTAGGATTTTCAAACAATGTCACGGTCGAATTAGTTTTGGAGTTCCAAACTTTTTGTATAGCCATTAGAGAGCATAAGTTGTAACACGGCAAAATTTCGTATTTTTCCGGAGCCGTTTGCTGTTTATTAATTTTTTTGGATATTATTTGCCGAGAGCTTCAGGGGATTGCTCTCGGCAAAGGCTCTTTGCCGAGAGCAACTAGGCCCGCTCTCGGCGCAGATTTCTTTTTTTTACCTGGCCTAGATCAATGGTTTGCCGAGAGCTGGCTCTCGGCGAAGAGGTTTGCCGAGAGCTGCTCTCGGGAAAGATTTAATTTTTTTTTTAGAAATATCATTTTTTGTTCAGTTTGCCAAGAGCTACTCTCGGCAAATAATAATTTTTATTTTTTTAATATTTCTTGTGCAGTTAGCTAGTTAAAAAATTCGAACGAAATTTGAAAAAAAAAATAACTTCACCAAGAGCCGGATCTGGGGGCTCTCGGCAAAGGAGGAAGGTTTGCCGAGAGCCTCCCAGATCTGGCTCTCGGCAAAGTGGCTCACCACTTAATCGTTTCGCACAGCCCGCAAGCCCGCAGGTGAACTGTTTGCCGCAGCCTCCGCCACGCCTGGCCGAAAGGCTTCTTGGCCGCCGCTCCGCTTCGAAGCCTCGCCACCTTGCATGCCCGCCAGCCCGCCCCATCCCGCCACACGTCACCACAAGACGCCGACGGCGGCGTCGCCGCCCGCCCCAATTTCGCCACGCGACGGCCACCGTGTGTCTCGCCCCAAGACGCTAACGACACGATCATTATTCGCCCGCCCGCAAGCGAGAGGAGCGAGGAGGAGGTGGCGCCCGCCCCTTCCCCAAGCAGTTTTCAGATCCTCCGCCAGAAGGGCACCGAAGTCGAGACTCTTCCTCACTCCTCCTTTTTCCCTAAGCGATCGCCGCTATGACGATTGATTTGTGGCTGAGCCAGTTGTTTATCTCGATCTACTCCCGTGCCCATGGATCGATTCGATCCGATCGGATCTCGTTTGAGGTTCTTCGTATGTCGGGACCCATGGCCACCGGTTAGTTGAGATTATCGACATGATTTTTGAACCCGTCCTAGAGTTGCCGACGGAGGATTCTACCTCCTCGTTCAGATTCTTGTTCGTCTAGTTCATCGAGGGTTGCGCCAAGTACTCTTGGACAAATCTAGAAGACTAGAACGATACTCTTTGGGGACAGAGGGAGCATAAAAATAGAAAAGATAGGGCAAATCAAACAAAACAGTTGTATTCCTTTGGTAGGCTTGACCTTGGTATGAGTTAGACCATTTTGATATTGCCCGCAGACAAGAACGTCTGCATCTTCTAACATATTCATTTTGTTATTTTCAGTTGTTGTTCCTAAATTGTGTCTTTCCTCCCTTGCTAGTTGCTGCAAACAACCATATTTCAGGAATCAGATAAGGTTACCAAACAAAAAATAATTTTGCAGGCACACTCACTTCTTTCTGGTCCAAACATTCTTGGTTCTGTAATCCTTTGGTAGACTTGACATCCTCCGTACCAGTTGAGTTAATTTGATATTCACCACAAACTCACTTCTTTCTGGTCCAAACATTCTTGGTTCTGTAATCCTTTAATTCGACAGGATTCCGTCTATGGAGGAAAGGATGTCTATATTGTGGCTCAACATGCCACACAAGTTTATTATCTCCCCTACTCGTGCCAAAGGGACCCTCGTCTTCAGGGTTGGGATATTGTGCACAAGGTATCGCCGCACGGTAAAGCACCTTCCCCAAACACCGAAGACTACAACTTCGACCCAAACACATATGATGGAGAGTTCTATCAAGAAGAGGGCCTACAAGGGACTTTTGAGATTGACTTAACCGGAGCTATGGAAATGAAAGTAGACAATGAAATGGATGTTGATGTGGACGAGGGGGATGAGGTGGAAAATGCGAAGGACTTGGCGTTACTTGAAGGATTACATATTGGCAATGGCAATGAAGACATAGTTGCTCCTTTGGAAAGTGTTGAACATTTCGACATGGCTGATAGTGATTATGAGAGCTATGATCCAGCTAATCCTGATGGGGATGATTATTTCTAATACATGTAATATTATGTTATTTTTAATTATGCTTTATTTATTTTGCATCTCTTTATAATAATGTCTTGTTTATGATCCATCTAATCCGATCTTATTGTTTATGTCTTGTAGGTGATTGTGCAAAGATGGCGGGCCGCAGAGCTTTGCGGGCGGTCAAGTCGCTTTACGACACGGGGGGCAGTACACCAGGGCCCTCAGGTGAAGCTGGGGTCGGCACCACCTCAGGGGAGGAGGAGGAGGGCGGCCGGGAGGAGGCCTAGGGCGCCACCGCCTCGGGCAGCAAAAGCAGCACCACCTGAGCCCGAGGAGGAGCGGGAGGAAGAGAGGTGGACGAGCAGGCTCAAGAGGGAGAGGACGAGCTGCAGGCCGAGCAGCTGGACGAGCAGGAGGAGCGGGAGGACGAGTAGGAGGCCGAGGCAGGAGGTTCCAGTTCCACCGGAACCTCGGGTGTCTACCAACGAGGTCCGGCGAGCCTACCTGAGCGGCCGATACCGAGGTCTCACGCCGGTCATTCGACCCGTTGGGCAAAAAGTACATAACTTTTACATTTTTTTCGCTCCTACATATGATAGAATCACAATGGAAACTAACAGTTTTTCTTAATCACTTACGCAGGTCTTGGAAGGTCGTGGTCCTGTGTGCTCACAAAAGGTTGCCCAATGGCATCCTCGGTCTTCTCTCAGATGGAACACTTCCTAGGCTTGGTTCGCTACTGTGAAGCTCGAGCCGGCCTACACGTGCACTGAGCACTACGCCGCCACCCTCGCGCGGAGGACAAGATGGGTCGCACGCATTTAAAGCGCATGGCGGAGCAGGTTATAAAGTAGTTTTGGGTAAGTCTTCCTCCCACTACTTTGCTCAATACATTGCATTCGCTAGAGTTTCTTGAACCAGTGTATTGATACATCTTTTCTATATGCAGGACTTCTTCAAATGCGCCGAGGGCTACGAGGCGAGGGCAGCCAAGGCGTCGGCCAAATCTTTTAGAGGTCGCATCTCGGACATGCATTATTACAGGCGCGGCCCGTGCCATCATCGATTATTGTGCCGCCGTCACGAGCATCGGAAGGTAAAGAAAGAAGATGCAAGATTAATGCATCCGACCAAAGAGTAGTACTGAAGGTAAATATACAACATCAATATTGATTTCTTCCGAGATTGGGTAGGCTTGAATTGTTCTTATATCTATCAATGTACTTGATGTCGCATGTGTGCCTCCCCGGCTGGTGCACCAATAAAACGCTGGCCCCGCAGATGATGGTTGATGGTGGGTGAGTGGCAATTGGGCGGATAACCACACCGTCCTCCGGGAACGACGTTTGTCGATGCCTGTGTGTATCACACCACCGTGGCAACCTTAACATCCACGAATTCGGGGCTAGATGGGTACGTGACTTGGTGTAGCTTCATTTATTCTTTTCAGACGTTTATTCCTCGCATGATTTATAATCGTCTTGTTGTTTTTCGCAATGGTACGCACATCAAAACCAGCCATGCAGAGAGCTCAAGTCATGGGTTACGCCCACAAGGGCAAGGCGCGATGACAACATCAATCTGGAACCCGGACGACCCAAATGAAGTCGTTCACCAACGAGAGCATCCCGAGCGATCGGGCCAAGACACCTAGGCGGCAAGGGGAGTCCATAGAAGGGGCAGATGGGATCCGTGA